GAAGCTTAAATGCCTTTGTATTGACAATGGTGGTCAGTATTATGAACCTTTTGATTTTTATTGCAAACAATAGGGTATGAAATATGAAAAGACTCCTCCTAAAACTCCTTAGTTGAATGATTTAGTAGAGAGAATGAACAAGACTTCGATTGAAAAAGTTAGGTGTATGTCTTTTGAAGTAAGATTACCTAAGCATTTTTAAGGTGAGGCACTCTACATAGTGTTGCATGTTATTATTCTTAGTCTTATAGTTACTTTGAATACTGAGGTGCCAAACAAAATTTGGTTTGTTAAAAATGTTATGTATGATCATTTGCGAGTCTTTGGTTGCAAGAGTTTTATGCATGTTCTAAAAGATGAAAGATTCAAGTTGAATGTAAAGACTAGGCAATGCATCTTCAATGGCTATGGTCAGGATGAATATGGTTATATGTTGTATGATCATGTTGAAATTTTTTTTGTTAAAAGTCGTGATGTAGAGTTCATGGTTAGTAGGATAAAAATCAATCAAGTAGAAAAATCGCAATTATCATCAAACAAAAGTATAGCATAAACCGTAGAAAGGATCCACCATAATTCTAAAGTTATGGATTTAACTATTAATAATAAAGTAAACAAAAAAAATAATTGTAAAGAAACCTATAGTCATTCGAATAAAATGCATAAATTAAAGGAATCCTAAAGGAAAAGAGATGAAAAGAGTTCTTGTCTCCAAGATATGCTCTTGATCACTTGCTCCAACTTTGGAACAATATCCTATGTCTTCACTAATGATCTTCACTCCCAAATGGTTCTCAAAGTTGTCACAATTAGGCTAGGCAAAAGTATCTAAGTCCAAATGTCTTTGAGAGAAAAGGTGTTGTCAAGAGAAAAAGATGCTTCTTCAAATGTGTGTGACCTCTTTATATAGGCATAAAATCTACAAAATATGATGGTTTTTCTCCAAAGAGATATGGTTTGTCTCTTCAAAGAGATGACATATCAAGTGAGGAAGATATGATTTTTGGTAACTAAATTTAAATTGAAGATTCAAATTCGAATTCTAAATTTTAAATTCACTCTTTCAAGTCCTTGAAAATCTCCAAGTTGATTGCACCAAAAGTGGAGTACAACCGTGCTTATCCTTTAGGCTGGTTGATAAGCAAGGTCATGCTTCTTGATGTGCATGACCATTCTTTTTACCAAATACTTTAAAATACGGACTTATTAACTTCTAAGATACCTCCAATTATGCCCTTATTATTGTTCTTCTTACTCTATTCAAGTTGGTGTTACTCATGTTAGTTCACATACTATTACGGCTTCTATACCCATTTTTAAGTTCTTTTTACCTTCCACATGCTGATTTTTATTCCCGCTTATACCGAAGTTAGATCATGCATAAGTTTGTTCAAGACATCATTTATATCACTGAATTTTAGATTTGGTCATCAAAGACTGCCAAATGTGAAAGATCCCCCATTGTTTCTCTTTCCTAATGGTGGTGACCCTAGCCATCTCTGATTGTTTTTTGCTGCATGTGTTTGTCCTGAGATTTTGCATTGCAACATCATTGTTAATCAGTTCATAACACAGTTCAATATGTTAAATACCTAAATTTACATTAATCTGATACCTAAACATAAATGTCTTAAATTCTGCCAAACCCGTATCATTTACTCTTGGTCAAAGTTCTCTTCCACAAATTAAATTTTCCCAACAAGCCATGAGATGACAGATTTTCTACTCTCAACAAAAATTACAAGTTGCCAAAAACCCCCCATTAACATTAATTGTCATATTATATCGAATGGAGTTTTAAAATTTTAATATCTCAAGTGAAAAATTAATTTACTCATTGTCAGTTTCAAAGTTATAAGAGGTTGAGCATGTTAATCACCTAAACAAGGCACAGTTGGCTTCACAAAAACTAACCTTAATCCACAGAATTTAACTTCACACCACGCTAAATGTTTAGCCATCTTGATATCCCTCAATGCATGGCAATACAGAGCTATACTCTATACTCAAGCTGAAATTCATAAAGCCACAAGGAAGGTTTGAACATGGGAAAAATGGGAACTACTTAATTGGAGACTCAATTGTACAATTAACTCTACATGCACGTGGCTCTGAGATTAAAGGGAATTGGATTGCATCTTAGAACACCTGCTGAGACTTCAGAGAATAAGAGGAGAGAAACAAATGACCTGAACATTCTAGGGAGGAGAAAAAAAGCTTCTACTTTTTGTCACCACGGCGTAGGTGAAAAGAAAAAGAAAATATCAAGCCACAAATGTTATAATTCAAAATCCAAATAGATACTACTTAAAATAAGACTAACAGAAAGAAAATGATATGTCAAACAACATACTGCCCCTTCTCACTTGTGTTTCTGATGCTCTGTCACAATCAAACGGGAGCGTCAATCCCTGCCACTGCATGTTTTATCATTCAAACATAAAGCTTTATTTGGATGCATGTGAGAGCAAATTAATTACAATATGTTACTGTGTCTTACTGAATGAAATATGAATACCCAACTGCAGAGATCAAATCATATATCTAAGCAAGAGTTAAGAAATAATACAGCTAATACACTTCATGCATATGATTGAACTTTATCTGCTATAAATTAGAAACATCCACCTATGTGCAAGCAAGACAATTCACATCAGAAAATTTCCCTTGCAAAATCAAAATATGTTTGTATTTCCAATTCTTTAATCTTTTCAATTTCACACAGATAATACTACAATAAATTAATAATACCCAAAGACATTCTCTAGTAATGAACTTTAAAATCATCTTTATATTTAGTTATAGAAATTACCCCAGCTGCAAGAGGGCGCCAATCTTAATTAAAGGAATCACCCAAATATTTTCTGAAAATAAATAGATGCAAAAATGGTTGCACATCAACACCATGCAAGGCTGTTACAAAGCTGAGAGAACACTGACTAACAAATGTAGTAAGTAATAAAATTTAGAATTTATCTGAGTCTCAAGTATCGTTCTCAGGGATTAGTTCTATCAATTACCACTTTACAAATCAATAACTAGTTGAGCCAAACAAATTTTGGAGTGTTTTGAGCATTTGCAAACAAAAACAATAAAGTGTAAAAATAAGAAAATCACAACAAAACAGAGCTACGAATTTTAGCAATAAAATTATATGTGAATGAAGTTAGGACTAATTTCACCTCTTTATCAATTACAAAACTGAAGTAGATCTGAACTTTAAGTTCCTTAATTGATTGATGATCAATTTCACTAAATTAATTAAAGGACAATTCCTTGCCTCATTGATCCTAATATCTAACTAAACTATTCTAATTCCTTAGGTGTAATTAAGTCAAATATTGCATTAGGCATTAGAAATTAAGAGATCACAAGATCACGAATTCTTATCCCTAAAATATCCATAACCTTGACATTCAATTCAAATATGAGAAATTAACTCAACTTCCATTGATGAAGATCTCTCTAGGTTCAATTCAATTGAATAGCTAATTCAAGAATTGCATTATGGAAAGAATTAAACGTTCAATACAATCAAGATCTTAAAATCCAGATCCACAATCAATTTACAATATCAAAATCGAATCCATCAATCCATAACAAAAAGAAATTAGAACATATTCCTAAAAGAAAAAGAGAGAGAAAGAGTAGAAGAAGGGGAGCTGCAGAATTTCTTCATAAATCCAATCCCCAGCCTGATTCCTTAAGATCCAGAGCTTGAAAGTCGCCCCCAATCTCCCTCTCTAAGTCTCCTAAGATGTGGAAATGAAAAAGTGAGAAAAAGATCCCAAGTTTCTGAGCTAATATCATATTTATAAAATTTTCCACCTTTCTGGCGTGGTTACTTTTATAACATAAAGTAACTACGTAGAAGGCTTTTTGGTAGTCTTCATAACTGGAATAACCACTTTTGTTTATAATAGTAGCAACGCAGAGATGAATTGCCTCAAATAGCATGATCACTTTTATTCACAATAGGAGTCACGCGCAACTTGTTTTTCTGGAATCCTCTCTGAAACAATCACTTTTATTGACAAAAGTAACAACGTGCAACTTATTTTGTTGAGATACTCTCTAAAACGATCACTTTTGTTGATAAAAGTAGCAACACGCAGCTTATTTTGCTCTTTACTCATGCGCGTGATCACTTTTTTAAAAAATAGTGATCACGCGCAGCTTGTTGCTTCTTTTTAGACTTGCGCCTGTTCACTTTACTGAAAAATAGTGATCATGTGCAAGTTGTTCTTCTCACTCCAGCGCTGGAACAATCACTATTATTAGAAATAGTGATAACGCAGAATCTCTCTTCATGGGCGTGATTACTATTATTGAAAAAAGTGTTAACGCACAAGTTAACTTCTGAACTTAAGCTCTGGAATGATCACTTTCCTTAGAAATAGTGATAACGCCCAATACTTAGCTTCATTATTCTTTGCTCTTTGTCTCCAAAATTGCTACTTTCTTCTACTTTTTCTTCTTCAATCCTTATCCTCAAAACTTTTAGCTTAGAATCTCCTGTAAAACTAACAAAATTACATCAGAATTCTATTAAATTCACATAATTTGAATTACTAAAGACAACAAATTACTTTATTGAACATTTATATATTTTTGTGCGGTTTTCACTTTCCAAATTACATTTTCTATTAAAAACAACCTAGAAAACTACATAAAAACCTAGTAAAATCTGCATTTATCAAAGGCCGAGGATGAAAATGATTTAAGAAATTCTAACCACATGAATACCGAAATTTGGTTGATTAAAACTGTAGTTAGAATACTTCCCTACAATTCTATTGCATAATGCCTTGTCTAGAAAGTAGAAACCATGAGGTATAGCACAATGGGAAAAGATCTTTTAACAAGATTTTACGAACCATATTAATGTTTTCTTCTTTTGTATTTGTGTTGCATAGGATAGTCTCCCCTCTGTCCAAGAAAATGGTATGGAAATCATAGACTATGACTTTGACATGGCAAGTCAAAGTTGGTTGAAACCTCTACTCAAGTTGAATTTTGCACATTACAATTTTCTTTATGAATTTTGCAAAGGCATTTTCCCTTGACTCTTTCTTTGGCTTAGGAGAAGGCTCCATTTCCATGCCAATTGATTCATCATACATTAGATAGACAGCTGTCTTCTTTACCACCAATCCTTGCCCAAAAGTCACAAAAATCTCCACTTTGTCACCAGACTCTAAATGTGATATCAAGCCATGCCAATCTTCATCATTAAAGGAAGTTACTGTGTCTCGCTTGAATATCTGGATGGTGCACTTTGTGTAATTAACCATTAAGACACTAACAAGATATTCAGATGCTGTGTTTTCAGGGGTTGATGAATAAATGACACACAATGTCATTCCCTTTAAGTTGCAATCCTTCGGCACGCTGAAATGCACTGAATGTCCCTCACCAGTTTGGGTCAACCAATAAGGATGATTGTCACCTGGAAGAAAAACATCACAAGACTCGTTGGTTGCCAATCCCTGTACCATGAGCAAAAAGGCTTAGTCATTTATTTAATTATGCTATTCAAATGAACTTCTTCAGTCATTATTTTGTCATTCCAAATTACAAAATGACCAGTTTAGAGAAAACAACAATTCACTGCATAAAGAAAACATGGTTATGGTAATTAACTGAAACAAATTTGGATAATAGTTTGGTAGCACATCCATCAACTGCAGAATTTTAAGGTGCATTTCTTTTCATACTCATACATCTCTTTCAACTTATATTTCAATATTTTTTTATTTTTTTTTTGCTGATCAAAGGCAATATAACATATAACTAACTTGAAGCAAGCGTAGCAAGAACAAAGAGGAAACCAATTTCCCAGTTCTTAATATGAGCATGACTACTTGGTTTGTTTATTATTAAAATTGTAATTTTAAATGAAGTCGTGTAATTATAAAAGGAAAGTTTCGAAAAGAAGGAAACTATTGACGTTACTTTTAGCTATTTCATTACGATTATTGCATGTTCTCTTAATTAATAGCAAAATTGAATATTAAAGGTAAGTAGATAAATATCAAAAGAAGGAACCTCTGATATGCTCTTGCTGAGAGTATTGAAGACTTCTTGATAACTACCAATTCCAATTAAATAAGACCTCAAGGAATGCTCTGGAATTTGTGATGCTTGTGATGTTACTTCTAATTCAGTAAAATTTTCACCATATTCATCATCCAGAATCCTTCTTAATTGTTTAGACAATTGAAACTCCGTGTCACATAGCACCAAAACACTTCGAAGATTTGAAAGGCTACTTAGAATTGGTGCTAGATCACCAAAATTATTATTCTGCACATCCATGGAAACTAGAGATGATGATAAGCCATGAAATGAACGAATATGAGTTAGGGGATTCATTGTTGGAGACATCCAAGACCAAATGATAGAAGGAAAGACATTGCGTGATAATCCTTCAAATCCACATAGGGATATATATCCAATGCTTTTTGATCTTACAATGGAAAATGGCACACGTTTAACAGCAGTATTTTCTGCAATTAAAGTTGTCAAGGATTCCATTTGCTCAATATCTTCGTCTATTCTGTCAATCTTTGCACAACCAGAAAGGATGAGAGTTCTCACAGATTTCAACTTATATGTCGCGCTGGGGAGATTTCTTAGCCTTGTACAGTTCTTCAAATTTATTAGTAGAAGATTGGGGAGATCTCCAATGGATTGGTGTACCCTGCACAAACTTGGACAATCTTTGAGAATGAGCTTTTCAAGATTCGGTAGTTTTGAAAAGTCAGGGGTTTCTGTCAAGTGCTTGGAATGGCTAAGATTGAGATATTTTAGCCACTTCAGAAACTACAAGAAAATAGTTTTTGAATGAAAAGAAATTAGTGAATAAAATGGAAAATGAAATAGTTGTAAGTGGTAACAATTAGTATATTAATTAACCTGAGTTTCCAAAGAAAATGGCATGTGAGATATACCTGTGGTTCTTTCCAGACTATTTTCAGATAACTGTGCCTTAAATCAATGGCAATTACACTTCTCATATTTAAGTTGTTAGGTATGTGTTTTAAAGGAAATCCTTGCCAATAGATCCATCTCAATTGCTCAGAAAGATGCCCATAATCTCCGGTGAGTTGTACATGATGAAGTTGCAACAATCTCAATCTCTTCATTTCCTCAAAAGCATTAGCTTCAAAGCAATCTTCGCTGGTTAGCTGCAACTTCAAGGACAATCCTTCAACAATTTCTGTCCCCTGTGATGAAAATAGAAGAGAAAATTATATTGGGAAATCTCTTGTTTGCTCACTAGAAAGTGCTTAATAAAGTTCAACCTAACTATTCATGAAAAGGAAAATACTTGGTCAAGACTGTATGTAAGGAATGTTCTTACTGTGTTCTTAGTCAAGACATCAAATACATCCTCATGAAACCACAATCGACTGCGTTTCCCAGGTTCCCTTGTTGAACTTCCACGGATAATCTCCCTTCCCATGTTTCGTATCAAATCATGCACTCCCAGTTTGTTGTTCTTTTCAACTTTTATAAGGCTACGCTCTATTAGAATTGTTATTCCAATATCAGCATGAAATCCACAGCCATTTAGTATCTCTGTAACATAGGATCTGTCTTTACCAATAAAGAAACAACATATGTCAAGAAATATGTCCTTTTCCATCTGATCGCTTAATCCATCAAAGCTTATTTTTAATTTCTCTTGAACTCGATCATTGGGTATTATTTCTAGTTTTGACAAAACACTTTTCCACTCTTTTTCTATCCTCTGGTATAAATAAGCACCAAGGACTTCAAGAGCAAGTGGTAGTCCTCCACAATAAGCAACAACATTTCTTGAGAGTTCGGCAAAGTCTTCTCTTGGAGTTGCTTCCTTAAAAGCATGCCAACTAAAAAGCTCGAGGGACTCGTTTTTGTCCATTTCCTCCATTTCATAAACACAGTCAACTTGAAATACCTTCAGCAACCGTACATCTCTAGTGGTAATGATTATTATACTCCCTTCACCAATCCATTTACGGCTTCCACATAGGGCTGTTAATTGCTCAAACTCAGTCACATCATCAAGTACAAGAAGTAACCTTTTTCCGTGAAGTCTTTGCTCAATCATAGTTGTACCTATGGCAGTGCTATGTATCTTCATCTTTGTTTTCAGGACATCATAAAGAAGTTGTTCTTGTAAATGAATATGACCTCCACCATCTTTTACAGAGACTTCCCTAATATTTTCAATGAAACTTCTATCCACAAAATTCCTATGAATTTCATTGTACAGAGCTTTAGCCGTGGTTGTTTTACCGGATCCTCCCATTCCCCAGATACCTACCATACAAACTTTGCTTGCTTGATTTTCAATAAACCCAATCACTTGTTTAGCACGGGCTGCTAGTCCAACTGGAAATTCCGTTATAGACATTAATGCATTGTCTAGTTTTTTCAAAACCTCCTTAACAATTTCCTTCACTAGGTCGCCTTCGCTCCTTCAATATAAATTATCAAACAGAATGAATGAATGAGCTTATATATATTATAATGTTAAAGATCAATAATAATACACTGATGATGGCAAAGTAATATACATATTGGACATATTTAAACAAAAGAAGTCAAAGAAAGAAGCAAGAAAGAATAATCTAGAAAGTATTCATTTACCTGTAATTTCTTAAATCCCAACCAGACAAATTTGCAACTTGGGTGAGTGCACTCCTCCATCCAGACAACACAAATTGAATAAAGCCTTCCCCTGATAGCCATTTTTGTGCAACTGCTTTCAAAGATTCTCCTAAATCACCGTTCTGGTGACGAATATCCGATGGATCAACGTCGTAAAATATAGGCAAAACCACCTGGCCATTCATTCTATGACATTCCATGATTTGTTCGAGCTCAACAAGACACCATGCAGTGTACATAAGTTTTGGAGAGAACAACAATAGATATTTGAGATCCTTTTATTGCTTGCAATAGTTCTGGCTGCATCGCTGCTCCCCTTGGAAGCTCGTGATCGTCCATGAAAGTGTTGACTCCAGCATTTGAGAGGGCACTATAGAGATGAGAAACGATAGTTTTACGTGTATCTTCCCCTCTGAAGTTGAGGAACACATTGTATATCCGTTGAGGATTTGAAGATGGAGAAGAAGACATTGGTGGATGAGAGAATTGAATTAGAGGACACAGCAAAAATGCTAAAAACAGAGTTGAGGTATCAAACTGGTTATACTGTTCTGCTTTTTCTGCTTAAATATTTGGTAAATGGTGCCATCAATTGTGTTTTTTTTATCTTGGTCAATCCCCAACTTTGCAAGCAATGGTACCATCCACCAATCTGAAAACTGGTCCACAATCAACAGCACAACTAATATAGCTGGTAATCTCGTTATTTTAGTATCATTTGCTTGACTGTTCTGTTGTTTTGTCGGTTAAAAATTGACCCTGTATATGACACTGTATATCACTCTATCCCAAGGACACTGATTAATGAATTGAAAGTGGAAAGATTTTGTCATAAAATGATATTAATTTACTTTCCTCGTGATTTTTAATATTTTCTAACATAATTTTTAATAAAAAGTTTCTACTTTCAATTCTTTAACAAGTGTTGTTAAAACAATGATTAAGACCCTTGAAATTTTCACCGGCTAGTGTTTAGTTATCCAAAAGAGATGTCATATTCATATCATAAATTCACCTAAAGTCACCGACTTTTACCACCCAAAAGGGAGAGAATCCAAATCTGCCATAAAATTATACAACAATTTATACGATATTCTTTTTTTTCTCTTGATCGTTTCATGGTATTACTTATTTTACCTCACAGTTTTAACTTTTTTCTTATATATTGTTTTTGTATAAATATAATTTGTCTATGTGAAATTGTATTGTGGTCCAACTCATCTTCTTTTTCTTACTGAGAGAAAGAAAAGTCGCTGTGCAAAGACTGACGAAAATGCTTGTGGCAGCAATTTTGGAACAAAATTTGGTAATGGAAACTTCCATCATCCTTCATAACATGTTGGCAATTATAGCGTAGAATTTTTAACTTTTCAATTACGCTGTTTCATAGAATACGCCGTTTGCCTGTTGTGCAGGTAACAAGTAAAAGATGTCATCTAATTAAATAAAATTATATCAATTATCTTAGATACAATAAATAATTAATTTTTTAATTAAAAGATGTCATCTAATTTTTTAATTTTTTTTATTAATAATCTTTGCCCGTGTAATAATTTTAAATACAACAAATAAAGAATTTGCATTAGTTATTAACCTAAAGGTCAAAGAGAAACTAATTAACAAAGGATACATTAAAAAGTTACCGAATAATTACAACAAAATGATTAGATTTCCTTATCAGTATATTTTCTTCTCCCTGATAAATAAAAATGGAAGGAGCAAGAAAAGCTAAGAGCATTTGAATCAATCTTTTGAGTCCTTTCTGTGTTTATCTAGCAGCGCTTCAAAAAATGTAATAAGCTCATCTGTGGTCTCAGTATTAATTTAAAAATAATCG